CGTAAATCAAGGGCGAAAACCAATTATTTGTCCCAAAAGAAGGTGTTTTAAGTATATATCTGCATTTCTAAGGTAGATTTGGGTACAATAAGAGGCGAAAAAGCAGATTCTGACTAAGATTTTATCGAAATCGGCAACTATTTGACTCAGAATGGTTGCCTTACGTCGAAATCTAATAGTTTATTAAGGTTTTCGTTGAACTAGAAATAAAAAATATTCATTAACGCATTTCGAAACTTTGTTTTCTCCATCTGGGCCTTCATACGACTCAGCATATTAACAAAAGTGTGATTAGACATTCTCAAAAACTGTTTAAACTTTCCAGAGTCCTTTTTAAACTCTTTCTTGACAAATTTTAACACCGCTTTTGTAATCCTTTTATAGTTATTATTTTTCTGTAGAACATACTGGGGCATAAATATTTCAACTAAATATGAAATATTTTAAATCAACAAAATATAGTTAAGAAACAAGATCCAATATAACAGCTAAAATGTATGAGTTGGTTGAACTATTAAATAACACTTTGAAGCGTCAAATCAAGCGATTATGTTTTGTCGACCAACGGAGCTTACCGAGTTAAGCCAAAAAGAATAATTCAGAATGCTCTCTGACGAGAAAAAACCATTTTAGTTTTCGTTTGTTTTAAAGCTGGACAGGAACTCGTGACAATTCTTGCATTTTAAACCTTTATATTTATAATTTTCTGACCAGACACCACGTGTATAATAGTCTATAGCGGGGACGTTGATTATGAAATGTACCTTTCAATGTCGTTAATAGGTGTTCTGCTTGTATCGAACCCAAAGTCATGAGTATATTAAATTTCACAGTATCTTGGGAACTCTACCCGAACATTTTCTTCTACTCGTGGCCTATTGACGATTAAAATCAAAAAAATTTATATATATTTATATATAAATATATATTGATTCTACGGTGACACAAATATGTTTAACCGAATATTATTATTATATATAAAATAATAATGTTGCACACTTCTGTAAAGGCGTCCCTAGCGGGTACAAAAATTTACAACTGAAAAAGAAAGAAGACGCAGTATAACAATAAAATAACTATGAAAATAAATAAAACTTCTTAATGGCAGTTGATTTGCATTGAAAATACTATTCCTTTGGATTTTCAGCTAGTGGCGCTAAAAGCAACACGTTATTTTTCTATGCGTCACTGTTGTTGGATTTTTTATCGCTATACCCCTCTCTAGTTAAATGGGTGTGAATGTCAGGGAAAAAGTTCCATTTCATAACAACGAATTTGATGTGATTGAAAACTACATGTCATTATCTCGGGACGTCTTTGTTACCTCTTTAATATATTGCGTTGCTGTAGAAATATGACGATCTTCGAATAAGGGGTGGTTCCTAAAAGGCAAATTATTCTTATAAATATAGGTCGGTCGTTCAATATCCTAATTTTATCTCGCACTTTTTAATATTTGTTTCGCATAATAATAAAAATTAAGGCAACAACAAAAACAATAAGATAATTCAAGATTTAAATATACAGATTAAACATAAATACGGTTGCAAGATATTTGAGAAGGAAAGAAAAGGTTTAATAACAACTTAATGCTGCCATTTAAGCCGCTCCTAACTACGTTGCCATTCAATTTAAAATCATAAAATCAGTACAGATTCGGATTCTGTGCCATAAAAATATCAAGTTTTGCCCGAAATTTGATTCTGAATTCTCGGTAGCTCGTGCTGTAACCTCCAGGCCATTTATCTATCATGTTTGTCAAGAAATTCTCTAAAATCCCAATTATGCATTCATCATTCGTTACCAAAGTGTCACTTTAAAATGTCAGCTTCATTAAACACTGTCGCGGGTCAATTCGAGCGTTTGCATTTCTCTAGATCGCGAACGATCAAATTGTTTTCGGTAGATTTAAAAACTGTTTAAATTTACAATGGTTATATTTGCCGGTGTTCGTAACAATAAGACAAAAAGTAGGTTACTAAATTATTACAATAGGCACATATTTCTTTTCTCAAGACATGCAGAACGACAGGTACTACAATTCTTACACAAAATGTTAATATATCAAAAATGGTATATACCCCCTTTGACATTTCATTTAATTTATAAATGAATAAGTGCATAATTAGACATTTTGGATTAGGGAGTGGAAAAACATGTTGAAGCTAACAATAAAGTCGGATTTTTGACAAATACGATAAATCGTCTTTTTTGCTAATACAGTGCCATTAACCGAGAAACAAAAGAAAAATGAGATGTCAAAGTTGCTCTCCCTCTACCACCGTGTTCATGGAATGAGGGTCTTGTTAGGTGTTATGAAACAGTTTTATAATTCTTCAGGTATTCCACCGTTTTCATACTTTTTGGGCACTTGGTATAGCTTTAAATATACGAGGCAATTAATAGTTCTTAAGAAATTGAGCTTTTCATATTTTAAATACAACGTTAAATATTGCAATTGTAATTGTAAACTTGAATTTAGTTTTATTCAAAAAATTTTAACATTTTACTGATTTAAAATTCTGGATATGGATAATAAAATTGACCACTTAAAACAGATTTGACTAGTTACTATCCCGAAACAGATGAAATCCACTTTAGTGTAAGTATCTACGATCCTCGTTATTAACATTAAATTTAATGCAGTTAGCTAGACTTATGATACATCATTATAAAAAAATAAATATGGCGGGAAGAACTATAAAGCACGAGGAAAACACAATTTGGAAAAATTGAATTTGTGGTTTTATTTTTTTTAATAAAAAAATTCGGTGGTGTCCATTTGAGAGTCATAGCTCCGTAGGTTGCGCCTATAGAAAAAAAAATTTTTTCGTGCCTTATCTAAATCTCAGAGACTTTCCCGCACGCCCGGTATAATTTGGATTCGGGAGTAGAAAGAGTAGAAAGAGAAAAGTAGAATTCGGGAGTAGAGGAGAGGGAGTAGCAACGACGTTTACTTAATGTTTGTCGAATGAAACCCCCTAAGCGGATATCGAAATATCGATCCCTATAAACAAATCGATACTTTGTATTTTGATCGCGAGATTTTACGTGAAACTGACGATATTGCATTACCTGAAGTGATGTTGTGCCCGCCCACTAAAACCGAAAACGTGCTGCGATCTCTATTGTAGACGCAATGACCGGCGGTCAACACGAAAAATTCAGAGATTATGCTAGCCCCGCAAATTATGATGAAAGGGTTCAGATTTACCAGCCCCGCCATCGAAGGGTACTCGTTGACGCCCGTTTCTTGTCCTCCAAGGATTGTAGCCTAAAAAACGTACGTTTTGCCATGTGAAATTCGAAATTTCATCGGCATGGCCTACAATAAATTCAATGAAATATAAAACGTTTCTAGAACGGCGGGAAGAAGTGCAATTTAATTTGATGGTTCTCATCAAAATGGTTTTGTAGTAATGCGAATTGAATTTGAAACTAGCGCTAATATCCAAAAGGATACATCGGTTTACTGTCTCATTTTACATGACGAAGTATTTAGTTAGAATCCGCTAACTGAAATAGTAAAACAAATTCAACGGTTTTTAAAAAGATTCGCAAATTATATGTTCAAAAAATTTGCCACAAAACATTCGGCGAAACAGTACATTTTTGGCGGTTGTCCTCACGCGGATAGTGGCGTTAGATATTCAAGGTTTTAATCTAAAGGACGCTGTAGGTTTCGTCGCTAAAGAGATTGCAATTTATGACGGAAATCTACTTACTTACTTACAAGCCGCAGAGAGCGAAGCGTATATTGCGTACCTTGGCTCAAGCGTTTTCACCAGGGATTAAAATACCTTATAGATTATAAACCTTATCGACGAATTGATTACGCGGTTGGTTCACACTGCGCACCTAAAAGGGCAAGCAAAAACAGATTTTTGACTTCGAAGATCGAACAACTACAGGTATCCCGACCTTTGATTGTTAATATGTGTGCACCTTCCATATGAACGGTAGATTACACCTGTGTGCCTTACGAAAATCTGTATTATTATTTCATTGATTATGTGCTCAAATTCCTATATGAAAAAACAATAAAAAGGTATGCTTTCAAAATTTGCAATTTTACGTTGACCGGCATATGTAAAACAGACTAACGCAAAGCGAGCAAATAAGCAACGTTGTATATATAAATATATATATATATATATATATATATATATATATATATATATATATATATATATATATATATATATATATATATATATATATATATATATATATACATGTATATATATATATATATATATATATATATATATATATATATATATATATATATATATATATATATATATATATATATATATATATATATATATATATATATATATATATATATATATATATATATATATATATATATATATATATATATATAACGGGTGACTCAGAGCAAATTTCACTATTTAAACGCGCCTTGTACATCCAACTTAATATTTGGGGGGGGGGGGGGGTTAGCGCTGGTTATCAGTCAACATGGAGCAGTGGTCAAATGAGCAACGAGCGTTTATGGTCGAAGCGTTCTTTAAATCGAACGATTCGTATGTTGCGGCACGGCGACGTTTTTGTAACCGTTACAATAATCGGCGTTTACGTGATGCTCCGTCAAACAATTTATTGAAATCGTAGGTTAAAAGATTTAGACAAAGTGGTACAGTGGCAAATCAGAAGCGTCCCGGTCAACAGAGGTCCATCAGAACGCCAGAGAATATTGAGATTGTGCGACGTGCTGCGACTGAACATCCGAGGCGCTCAATTCGAAAACATGGCCAGGCCCTGAATATTCATCGCTCAAGTGTGCAACGGATTTTAAGCAAAGGCTTGCGGTTCCATCCCTACAAAATTCAATTGGTGCAGTTTCTAAAGCCCACAGTCTACGAATTACGAAAAAATTATTGTGAGGCAATGATGAATATGTTTTGGAACGAAGGAGGATTGGACAACATTTTATTCAGTGATGAGGCTCACTTCCATCTAGAGGGGTATTGTTAACAAATAAAACTGTCGCTTTTGGAGCCCCGACAACCCAAAGAAAAGCATGAAAAACAATTGCATTCCAAGAAGGTAACAGTTTGGTGTGCCATGTCAGCTACTGGAATAATTGGGCCCCCTAAATAAAAAGGATCGGTATATTTAAAACACTCTTTTTTATTAATCGAGGTATTAGTTACAAGATGTCAAAATCAATGTAAACTTTTACTGTTTTCTTAACTTCAGCAATTGTTGTATTTTGGATTTTATGGCGGATACACTTCTCTTAGAGTTAAAGGTTGTAATAAATTCTCTTATTTTAGCTGACGGTGGGTAAGTGTTTGTTTGGAGGTATTGTGCAAACTCCTTCTGGATGCAATTCACTTCATTCTCGCTCCATACTAAAATAAAAAATATTTTTCATAAAACGTGTTCGAAAAATTAGTTAAGGTGTGTTTGTCGTTATTTTATAAATTAGTATTTGTCACTTACATCGTTTATTTACAACTTTGGAGACTTTTGGCTTATCTGAAAGAAACAGTGTTTTGTCAAAAACACACAACTGTTTTACTTATATTCGCACTAGTATTATTAGTTTTTTAACACCACAGTAACAAAATAAATTTATTAAAAACAAATCTGACCCAAATTTTCGTTAACTCGCATCGGTTTATTTTTACCTCTTATTCTAATGAACCATGCCTATGGCAGTATAACTGAGTAAAAGTAATAAAAACATAGAGAATTACCTATATCAGCAGTTTCTTGATCTTCGTTCTTCTTAATGTTTTCAGGAATTGGTTGGTCAAAAATATTATTATCTTTATTCGCTTCAATATTTTCTTTTTTCCACACAAACAATATTTCATTGTCTTGTGTGGGCGCATTTGGTGACGAGGACTCTGAAACCATTTAGATATAAAATGGCAAACTAGTAGTAAACAGAAAACTTTTTGCATGACTACCTTTAGGTTCATTTTCTTCGGGATAGTCAATATCAATGTCCATTTCGTTTATCGATTTGCCTTTATATTCGACAGGAAGGGTTCCTTTTTCCATCATCAATGGTATTTTTGAAACCTTTGCGGTCTGGTAAATATCTACAGGCAGCCTGGAATAACAAGTATGAAATTCATACACAAATAAGACTACCTAATTAGCAAACAAAAAAAGAAGACAAGAGAAGAAAAGTGCCTCAACTATGCAAGTTCACACAAGTTATTTTTCTTCAATGGCCTTGTTTTTGTGCAATATTAACATGCGAAAGACAATACCTTTTGGACAGATCGCACGTCTGTCCTTCGTAACACATAGAACCAATATAAAAAAATGGGACAACCTGTATGTGATTAAAAGCAAACTACCTTATCGAAGAACGTGTGATGGTGTAAAAATAGAGTTACGCAACCCGCGCATGATTTAACGTAGGAAATAATTTAAGGACATCCGGTATATTTTTAAAAAACTAAATTTAAATTTATAAAGTCAGAGATGCAAAAACTTTAACAAAATTAAATCGAAATATTCATTTGCCGCGGGGAATAATATCGCGACGTCTAGTATACAATTTAAATTCAAAGAAGGAAATAAAAATAACCAACACGAAAATATCGTTCGCTCGAAACAAACGATATAATAACGTAACACATAGAACCAATGTAAAGAAAATTGGACAACCTGTATGTGATTAAAAGCAAACTACTTTATCGGAGTACGTGTGATGGTGTGAAAACAGAGTTACGCAACCAGCGTATGATTTTACTTAGGAAATAATTTAAGGACATCCGGTATATTTTTAAAAAACTAAATTTAAAATTATGAAGCCAGAAATGCAAAAACTTTTACAAAATTAAATCGAAATACTCATTTATCGCGGAAAATGATCTTACAAAGTCCTGTATACAATTTAAATTGAAAGAAGGAAATAAAAATAACGAACACGAAAATATCGTTCGCTCGAAACAAACGATAAAATAACGTAACACATAGAACCAATGTAAAGAAAATGGGACAACCTGTATGTGATTAGAAGCAAACTATCTTATCGGAGTACGTGTGATGGTGTAAAAACAGAGTTACGCAACCCGCGCATAATTTTACGTAGGAAATAATTTAAAGACATCCGGCATATTTTTAAAAAATTAAATTTAAAATTATAAAGTCAAAGATGTAAAAACCTTAGCAAATTTAAATCGAAATACTCATTTACCGCGGGGAACAATATCGCGACGTCCTGTATATAATTTAAATTCAAAGAAGAAAATAAAAATAACGAAAACGAAAGTATCGTTGACTTAAAGGAAGCGATATAATAACGAAACACATACAACCAATGTAAAGAAAATGGGACAACCTGTATGTGATTAAAAGCAAACTACCTTATCGGAGTACGTGTGATGGTGTGAAAACAGAGTTACCCAACCCGCGCATGATTTTACGTAGGAAATAATTTAAGGACATCCGGTATATTTTTAAAAAACTAAATTTAAAATTATGAAGCCAGAGATGCAAAAACTTTAACAAAATTAAATCGAAATACTCATTTGCCGCGGTGAACAATATCGCGACGTCCTGTATACAATTTAAATTGAAAGAAGGAAATAAAAATAACCAACACGAAAATATCGTTCGCTCGAAACAAACGAAATAATAACGTAACACATAGAACCAATGTAAAAAAAATGGGACAACCTGTATGTGATTAAAAGCAAACTACCTTATCGAAGAACGTGTGATGGTGTAAAAACAGAGTTACGCAACCCGCGCATGATTTTAGGTAGGAAATCATTTAAGGACATCCGGTATATTTTTAAAAAATTAAATTTAAAATTATAAAGCCAGAGATGCAAAAACATTAGCAAATTTAAATCGAAATACTCATTTACCGCGGGGAACAATATCGCGACGTCCTGTATACAATTTAAATTCAAAGAAGGAAATAAAAATAACGAAAACGAAAGTATCGTTGACTCAAAAGAAGCGATATAATAACGTAACACATAGAACCAATGTAAAGAAAATGGGACAACCTGTATCTGATTAGATGCAAACATTTTTATCTGAGTATGTGTAATCGTGTGAAAACAGAGTTACGCAACCCGCGTATGATTTTACATAGGAAATAATTTATGGATAACCGGTATATTTTTAAAAAATTGAACATGACGCTAGAGATGTAAAAACCAATGCAAAGAAAAAAAAAACACTAAAATATATTAGCGAGAGATAGTCGCAACTCGAAAACTTTTTCTTCATGTCCGGGTAGGAGCACATAGCAATAGAAATATATTTAATTACCTTAAAAAAAGAAAATCAATCACAATTAACTTTCTCGGGTGCACTTTTAAAACAAACTAAATGCAAATCTCGATGAAGATCATCCCACCTACATTGTCACCCCCACCAATTATTTAATATTTCGCGCCTAGGATAACGATCGCTAAGATCGTCGAACGTTGCCACGTTGAGCGCAAAACGTAGTTATTAAAAATGATGCGAGTTAATTTTTGTCTTTACCAATTATGAGAATCGTCGAAATCTATCTGGAAACACTTTCAACTGCATCCCGTCTCTTTTCGTTGAATTGAAATTGATCTTTTTTTCAATAAAAATCGATATAAATCACAATGCAGGGATGCTTCTGGCAACAGTGTCACCCCATCCACTTTTATAACGGTTTTCTGTCCGTCGATCGTGAATCATTTTTTCGCGGGTAAAATAACGGCTGTTAGAGAATCGTCGGACGTTGCCATATTTAAGAGATGCAAAAATCACGAAAATAATCGATCGATTTTAATAAGGGAAAAATGAAAGCCTACCTCGCTTTAAAATTTGAAAATTGAATGGATAGGAGGAACGTCGGAAGCCTACCAAACTATAGTGGTTACGAAACCGCACCACTCTACGCGCGTCATAATAAACTCGGGACGAAAATTCGCTTATTTTTCGCCTCCGACGCACCGTTTCCGAGATACGGCCCTTTTTCGAAAATTTTTTTTCCATTTTAAAATGGCTATAGCTCGAAAACGGTTCGTTTTTTGGGAAAACCGAGCAATTTTTTGCCCTATAAGGGACGGTTTACCACCCCATTTTACGGGAATCCGGTATCTGTTTTCCCATTTTCTTGATTTTGGTGCCCCCGCCGGCATCGTATAGAGTATTGCGAGCCTACCTCGATTTAAAATTTAAAACTTGAATGGATAGGAGGAACGTCGGAAACCTACCAGGCTATAGTGGTTACGAATCCGCACCACTCTACGCGCGTCATATTGAGCTCGGTACGAAAATTCGCTTATTTTTCGCCTCCGACGCACCCTTACCGAGATACGGCCCTTTCTCGAAATTTTTTTTTCGATTTTAAAATGGCTATATCTCGAAAACGGTTCGTTTTTTGAGAAAACCGAGCAATTTTTTGCCCCATAAGGGACGCTTTACCATCCCATTTTACGGGAATCCGGTATCTGTTTTCCCATTTTCTTGATTTTGGTGCCCCCGCCGGCATCGTATAGAGTCTTAGGAGCCTACCTCGATTTAAAATTTTAAACTTGAATGGATAGGAGGAACGTCGGAAACCTACCAGGCTATAGTATATACGAAACCGCACCATTTTACGCGCGTTATAGTAAACTCGGTACGAAAATTCGCTTATTTTTCGCCTCCGGCGCACCCTTACCGAGATACGGCCCTTTTTCGAATTTTTTTTTTTCGATTTTAAAATGGCCATAACTCGAAAACGATTCGTTTTTTGGGAAAACGGAGTAATTTTTTGACCTTAGAGGGACGGTTTACGACCCCATTTTACGGGAATCCGGTGTCAGTTTCCCCATTTTCTTGATTTTGGTACCCTCGCCGGCATCGTATAGAGTATTGCGAGCCTACCTCGATTTAAAATTTAAAACTTGAATGGATAGGAGGAACGTCGGAAACCTACCAGGCTATAGTGGTTACGAATCCGCACCACTCCACGCGCGTCATATGGAGCTCGGTACGAAAATTCGCTTATTTTTCGCCTCCGACGCACCCTTACCGAGATACGGCCCTTTCTCGAAATTTTTTTTTCGATTTTAAAATGGCTATATCTCGAAAACGGTTCGTTTTTTGAGAAAACCGAGCAATTTTTTGCCCCAATGGGGACGCTTTACCACCCCATTTTACGGGAATACGGTATCGGTTTCCCCATTTTCTTGATTTTGGTACCCCCGCCGGCATCGTATTGAGTATTGCGAGCCTACCTCGATTTAAAATTTAAAACTTGAATGGATAGGAGGAACGTCGGAAACCTACCAGGCTATAGCGGTTACGAATCCGCACCACTTTACGCGCGTTATTTTGAGCTCGGTACGAAAATTCGCTTATTTTTCGCCTCCGACGCACCGTTACCGAGATACGGCCCTTTTTCGTATTTTTTTTTTCGATTTTAAAATGGCCATAACTCGAAAACGGTTCGTCCAATCAAAAAAAGGACAAAATGTTCACCCCAAAAGGGTCGCTTCTCACCCCCCTTTACCCTTAGAAGACATTTTCTCCGATTTTTTTTTTTCAAAAATTACAAAATTCGGGGGGGTAAAATTTGGAGGGGGGGGTTGATACTTTGCCAGTCGATTTCCCACGCCGAGTTCGCCGGTCCATTTATTTAATAATGCTGAGGCCGGTACGAAAATTCGCTTATTTTTCGCCTCCGACGCACCGTTTCCGAGATACGGCCCTTTTTCGAAAATTTTTCGAAAATGTCGAAATCTCGAAAACGGCTTGTCGGATCGAAAAACGCACGAAATTTTCGCCCCAAAGGGGTCGCTTCTCGCCCCCCTTTACCCTTAGAAGGCATATTCTCCGATTTTTTTTTCAAAAATTACAAAATTCGAGGGGGTAAAATTTGGAGGGGGGGGGGGTTGAGACTTTGCCAGGCGATTCCCCACGCCGAGTCGGCCGGTCCGCCTAATTAAGAACGCCGAGGCCGGTACGAAAATTCGCTTATTTTTCGCCTCCGACGCACCGTTTCCGAGATACGGCCCTTTTTCGAAAATTTTTCGAAAATGTCGAAATCTCGAAAACGGCTCGTCGGATCGAAAAACGCACGAAATTTTCACCCCAAATGGGTCGCTTCTTAGAAGGCATTTTCTCCGATTTTTTTTTCAAAAATTACAAAATCCGAGGTGGTAAAATTTGGAGGGGGGGGGGGTTGAGACTTTGTCAGTCGATTCCCCACGCCGAGTCCGCCGGTCCGCTTAGTCAATAATGCCGAGGCCGGTACGAAAATTCGCTTATTTTTCGCCTCCGACGCACAGTTTTCGAGATACGACGATTTGAAAATTT